TTATATTCTTGGAATATAAATAAGACAAATTCAATATAAAAAGGCTAAAATATCCATAGTCATTATTATGCAATCTTAAAAAATATGTGAGAAATTACCGAAATATTAGTCTTGACTTTTGTGGCTCAGGCCCTAAATTTGGCCCAGAACGAAAACGATGGTTAAGGCCCTTTATAGCACCAATAAATCCGAAATAGAAAGGCCTGTTTGGCAATTGACACGTTACATCTAAGTACTAACCTTGCACGAATGAATAAAACGACCGGGTATCCATTAATGATGAGTTTTGTTTATTTGCGATGAAAAATGAGTTAGTGATAATTTTTTTATATTATTTTTTTATACAATTTTATATATTATTTAAATAATTAATTTTTTTTATTCATTTAGAATTCATGATAATATTAAATGTATTCACTTATTTAATAATATGTAAAAATTATATAAAAATATAGTAAAAATATTATAAAAAAGATTGTTCATATATTAGTGTTCATAAAAAATTATAAAATGATTAATTTACCCTCGTCAAGAACCCCCCCAGGGTTCAACAGCAAGGATATGCATGGGAGCCACTCCTTGGCCCGTGGGACCCCAGTGCCACCCCTAATTTGGAATCGAGTGGAATTATGGAAACCAGCCACAAACCAAAGTGAACCAATTTCTGATTTGTGTAGTAACATGCTTTTCCTATGAAAGATGTGGGCATTGTGATATGAATTAAGCAATGACATACCTAAGTATAACAAACACACCCAAAAGCTGCATCATTCATGCAAAGCCATCTTGTTTCAGACAATCACAAACATAGTATTACAAATTGTGGTCTGATGGCAAACATCCAAATTCTACCTTCAGTATTGGCATTCATGAAAAACATTACTAAGTCACATTAGACAACTCTTTATGACCATGCCTAGATTGCCAGCTTAACATCAGATAACCAACAGCGCAGAAAGGTGTCATGTGATGTGAAGACCTTATGATCATGCCATCAGTAGAAAAAGGAATGAATCTAGACCTAAGACCCGCATATCTGATTCCAAACTTTCGTTTGGGAATGGAAGAAATTACATATGGGATTTCAAAAATGCATTCAAGAATACTTAGGCTAGAAATGCACACATGATAAATGGCTAACCATGAGTGGAAGTGATAATGAAGCAGATCACAAGCAATAAAACAATCCTTGAGTCAACCCATAAAACAAGAGTGTCAAAACTCAAAAGAGTTTAGTTATAGATTATATAGAATAGGATACCCTAAACTCACATCAACATGTAAACTGGAAACAGTTTAATTTCTAGCCATGCAGCCTAAGTAAGAATACAAAATTATGAGGACTAGTGGTACTAAAGTGAAACTCTACTGATGACATATAAACAATTTTGTGAAGCATGTACTGAAACAAGTGATATAGCTTCAAATTTTGGTTAAGGATCACAACTTCACAAGCCTCTAGCATTAACTTTCAGGAAAAGCAAGCCATGGGGAAACAATGAGCTCAAAACTACAAAAGAAAAATTAAAAATAAAAAGTTCAAAAAATAGTGATATAAGAAAGAGGATCAAGTTCTTTGAACTCATCAAGCTTCATGATAGTATGATCCCAAACAAAGCCACAACATTCTTCATGGATAACTCCAAAGAAACAAACAGCCACATGGATCATCATTAAAAAGCAGAGAATCAGAACTTTCGTCTGATCATAAATCTTGGCTAATGAGGATACTCTAACTAGTAATCCCACAAAGCAATTGGCATCGTAATATTGACTTAGGTAGAATTTGTGATTGCTTTCCCACAACGCATTTTCACACAACACCATTAATTTTAATCAATGTTTTGTATAATTTCAAAGTCAGATTAATGTATAAGACTCTTTTCAAAGCAATTACCAAGCAAAAACATAATTTTTTTCTCATAGTAAAGTACTTAAAATCCCACAACCACAACACTTAAGCAATCCTAAAATCATGACTTCTATGCATCTATTTCGTATCCATTTCTTATTGATCAAAGACAGGAATTACCAAATATTCATTCAGAATATCAAAAAATCTATTAAAAGGGAAAAAAATATAAGAAATGAGACCACATTTATAAATTAAGGCATTCGTGATTGTCCAAATATCTAGTAAAACACAGAAAATCCCTTCAAAAATTTCGTTTTAAAAAAAAAAAAAATACAAAACAAGAGACTGAGTAACGAGTAATCTAAGAAATAAGTTCTCAATCGAGTGGCACCTCCACCTCACCTTCAGCAATCTCCTGTTGCAAGTCCTTGGGGTTCTTTCCGTCGACGGTGCATCCAACGGAGACGCATGTGCCCAAAATCTCCTTCACTGTCCCTTTCAAATCCTTAGCCATGGACCTACCCCTCATCACCTTGGCAATCTCAATCACATCATCGAGGCTGATGTTGCCACTATGCTTGATGTTTTTGGTCTTCTTCCGGTCCCTCTCCGGCTCCTTGAGCGCCTTGATTACGAGCGCCGCGGCAGAGGGGACCACCGTGACCTTGGCTTGACGGTTCTGAACAGTGAGCTTCACCGTCACGCGGAGTCCCTTCCAATCCTTGGCGGTCTCCTTGGCGATATCTTCACCGATCTTCTTCGGGGAAAGACCGAGAGGTCCGATCTTCGGAGCGAGGGAACTGGCCGCACCGACTTCGCCGCCGGTCACGCGGACATAGACGTCCACTACTTGGCTGGGATCGAACTTCGGCGGCATTGCTGTTTCAGAAAGAGGCTAGGGTTTTCGCAGACGTCGAGTGTGAAGACTGCGACGATAAATAAAGCTAGGGTTTTTCTCATCAATTGACCATTTTGCCATTCATACAAAACATAACATGCAGGGAAGAGATGTGGGCATTTATGTAAATTGATAACAAATGGAATGGGCTTGAAGCTTCATGTGGTACCAGTTGGATTGGATTAAAGTAAGAAATATGGGCCGGTGGCTTCTGTGGCCTTTTTCCTTTATGCTGGGCTTCCTTGTTTCCTTGTAATTGTTAAAGGCCGTTTAGATTCGATGGTTTTTGCATAATTTATCTTTAAAGAGTTGAGATCAATTTCTCAAAAAAAAAAAAAAAAGGTTTTTTTAACTTTGTGCCCTAATGACATATATTAAAGGTACCTTTTATTATAAATGTATATAAAAAATGTAAAAATTGATATTAATTTTAGTGTTTGTGCAAAGTAAATGAATTTAATTAAATAATTAATAAATCAAACATTAACTTTTATTTTTTCAATATAAATTTATGATAAAAAGATGTATTTATTATACTTTCAACTTATATCCTTAAAATAGAGATTAGAAAAATGAAAAAAAAATTGGGATTAACTTGTGCACAAGTCATACATTTAACTCTTGCTTAAAATCTTGAGTGTCCATCTCTTTATCATTATGATAGTTTTGATTTTTTACCCAAAAAGAAAAATCTATTCATTATGAATTATTGAGATTTTTTTCTTATCCTGATTGCATAATAGGAGGGATCAATCTCTGATCTCTTATCTCAAATTCAAAATCTTTTATTTTTAACAAAAAAAAATAACCATTGAATTATTTAAGTTGTTGACAAATTATTAAGATT